CTTCGAACGACAGCTGATTGTTTTACTGATTCAGAATCGGCTAACGGGTCGATCACACAGAGACACGGCGCTCTACTCTTGCGCTGTGCGTCGTGGTTTTCTCGCCATTTTTAGACACTTGGCCCAGACAGCCAATGAAATCCAGCAAGAGGCGGGCTTTATGTTTATGTTTTAGTGCCAGTAAACAGGTTAGCTAGCTAGCTAGTTAGCTGTTTGACTGTGAGAGAGCTACGGAGCGGGCGTGTTGTGGGCGAATCCTCAGTTATCCACCTCTTTCAAATAAAGCTGGAGTTTATTCATCTAGAGCTTGACGTCTGCTCGAATCCACTTTTTCTCTAGTAATCCCGGTCGTGTGAGCGTCTTGTCTGCGCAAACTTAGTGACTTTATGTCCTTTCTCTATGTTCAAAATACCAAAAACGTTTTGTTTCTCTACTTCCAACACTAACTACTCATTGTCTCAAATCTTCCTGTCTGGTGACACATTCTTGATGTAGCGTGAATCCGGAGTATGCGCAGGGTCTTTTATTTTGAAAATTGACCAGATTCTCTATATTGTTCCTGTGTCTGACTTCCTGCCAGTGCGATCTGCTCTGTGCTGCTTGAGGCAGGTGGGTCGAGGCTTCTGTCCAAAACAGACGTTTCTGGTGGGATCACCGGCGCCCCTCGGTGGATTTTGGCTGTAAAGGCTGTTTCAGAGGCTTCAATAACACATCGAAATTATAATTTTGAGGATTTGTCTTCGTTAAAGGTTCGGTGTGTATAATTTCGTGGCATTCGTGGCATCATAAATAATTTCCCCCTGGGATTATTAAAGTATTTCTGATTCTGATTCTGATTCTGATTTACCCTCCTCTTCCAAGCGTGAAGGAAAAACTACGGTGGCCTCGAAATACACGAAAAACATGAACTACTGTAGAAACATGGTGGTGCAACATGGCAGACCCCGCCAGAAGAGGACCCGTGAATAAAAACATCTCATTGTAAGGTAACGAAACACAACAATTCCTATATCCAGGTGATTATACACTAATGAAGACATACCTATGAATATTATATTATATTTTTGACAATAGATCCTCCTCAATGTGACACACTGGAGCTTTAAATTAGCCGGATCATGTTAGCTCTGATTTGTTTTAGAAAGTACAGGTTTCCAAACATCCCTATCAGTGCAACACTATAATGACAGGTGACATAACAGAGACATAAAAACAACAGGGGTCAGAAGTACAAAGTGAAACCATTAACTGAGACTTCAGATAACAGCCACACTCTACAGAAAGCTCTAATCCTGAAAGACTGATATAAGAGAGAGAAAGAAACCAGAGAGGGAAGGAAAAAGTAAAGTTGTTCCCACACTGGAATATGTTTTCTCCGGTTTTACAGCAGTTTTCCTTCCTGATGCTGTTGGTTGTGTGTTTGTGAGTCTTTACTGCGGCGTTACGCCACCCTGGGCCAAACCCCGCCAACAGCTGTTAATGAGTGACCATAAAAACCTCAGAGGGAAAACACATTAACATTCCTGCTTTTTTTAAACCTACTTTTCTGACACTTTACTTTTCCTGACGTTATCTTGTGTTTGCTCCCTGCTTTCCTTCAAACTCTGAAAAACTATATTTTAAGTAATATCTGCACGTTGAGATCAATGTTGTCTCCATTAATTCTGACCTCTGACCTTTTATTGTGCTGATGTCACAGATATAACACCTACAAGAAGTGCATTTTATAGGAAGGAGGTATAAAGAGTAGCTACTATGTCCAAAATACATTTATTGATTAACATTAATTCCTGTTCAGGTTTCCTCGCTATCTGTACATGTTAAAGTGAAACTATGTACGAATAAATAACTCTTCTTAGCGATATGTAACCTAGCTGGATTTAACACACCCAGGGGTTAGAGACCTTAATGATATTTTTTACTGTTAATGCTAAAGTAACATAATCCCACTTTAACATAAATAGAATAGCCATATGCAAAACAAAAGCTAACATTATTACATTAGAATGATAATAAATCCATTATTCTTGATTTAAAAGTCAGTTTGGACTTCATATGTTGTAGTTCTGTGATGTAAAAATAGATAAAAATAGAAATAAATTGATTTATTGTACATTTTTAGGGATACACTGTTAATATTAATATAATTATTTGACTATTTTATTATTGTTATTATTAGAATTGTGAACTTCAGTCTTTCTGCTGTTTTCTGTCCTGGTGTATCGACGAGGTCTCAGCCGGCTCCGACCCGGCTCTGTTAATGAGCGCCGGGTCCATTAGAGCCGAAGAGAAACCACATTCCTCTCTGTCCCTATGTATTCTCCCTCCCACCGGCGTCTTTGTCTCCCTCCAACCTATGTTTGTCTTTCCCAGCAGACAGGAAGTGGACCCCATTATTCCCCCTCTCTCTCTCTCTCTCTCATTCTCTCTCTCTGTCTCTCCGTCAATCATTAACTGACTCTCCCTTTAACCAGACCAATCACAGGAGAGGATTATGAGCTCATACTGTACCACTGTACCACTGTACCACTGTACCACTG